AAGATCAGGAGATTGATTCACTCCTAGAACTAATCCAAGGAAAAAAAAAGTGTTAGATGTCCATTGAATTAATATGCCTCATCATGCAGATAGAAGTGTTCTACTGTTGGCATAGAGGAGATGAGGGAATTCAGATGGAAGATTTCAATGGCCCTTCAGTCAACTCACAGTTAAAACTGTTTACTGAACATATAATTTCAGTTTTGGCTACCCAAAAATAATATAATAGACATATGATGGCTCATGGTAGAATTATGCTCTGAGCTGCTCCTAGGTAAAGTACATGCTTTATGGCATTGCCTTCGTTAAAATTCTGTATGGAATGCTAGGTCCCTTCATCTAAAGCCTATTGAAGGAATGATGTATTTATCTATTAGGTAAGTGTTGAGCTCTGATTTATAATATCTAATAAAGCTACTGTGAAAAGATGTTATTAAAAATTATCTGTCTGAAATTTTGAGTCTCATTGCCAAAACCACATACATTTACTGAGATAATTACATTTTCTGAACAGCCAAAAGCTGTATCGTTTTTTCCAGTGTTGTGTTACTTTTGATTTTTTTTCTTGACTCAGACTAGTTGTAATAATTCCAGCTGCTTTCAGATATCATCATTCATATATCCATACATCAAAGGAAGAATAAGGAGCTGCCACAGACTACTAAAAATATTTTTTTATGTATACAAAGGCCTGCTACAGTAACTGAAGCTAGGGAACTAGATCATAGAGTGACTTTTCTCTGCACTTTTTCTAAGCATAGGAAAAATACAGGGAAGCTTTTTTATCATTTAGGTATTTAGCTAATCCTATCAGAGGGAACAGCCGTATTTCATATTTAGTAGTGTCAGCATGTGCCTTTTTAATCTGTCATGGACTCAGTAAGTACATAATAAAGCAACAGTGTTTTGGTAATAGTCAAATAATTTTAAGCAGTTTGTATTGACTTGGTTATATTCTGATAATCTGTAGGTTTTTGGTATTCACTGAATTTCTCTGCTGCAGCATTCATTTTGATAGAACATAAAAGGAGTAAGAGGAAGTGTCAAATGGGGATTAAGACACAGACTGACGAAAGGTTGGGTCAAAATCATTGTAGCACCTTTATATATGATTAATAACTGTAAATCTTAAATGCATTTCTCAATTTCATTGAGTTTTAAAAGCAATAGTAGCAACTGCTGAGAAGGCAGCTTCTATGTTTAACTGAACATTCTTAGGATAAAATTAAATTCTCATTCAAAAATCAGATTTGTTATTTAGAAGCTGACCCCTTTCTGGGCCTATTTTAAGGGGACTATTCTGCTTGCAATTTTTAGCTTCCACTATCACTAAGCAAGATTGGTATCCTGCAGGGTGATCAGATTTATCCAAACAAGAACTTCATTTACATCCTGCACAGAGCCCACGGGCCAGTCTTTTGCATAGAGGCTGGGAGATTGAAATGTTTTCAGGAGAGGATAATATATGCCTGGAACTGTAATATGCATGAATAACGTTTTCATATTAAAAATTATATCCACTGATTGCTGTAAACTGATTCACAGAATAAGATCCCCATAACTGAATATTCAGATTAATTTCTGGAAAAAAAAAATAGTAAGGGAAACACAAGTTACCTTATGAGTTTATTTCTTAAAAAGAGTTATAAGTACTTGGAACATAATCATCTTGAACTACGTGCTCATTAATATTCATTATTACATAAATCACTCCTTTGTGCCTTGACTGCATCTATTGATGCACCCAAGTATTTTGAGATTTAATTGACTGATACATTCAAATAATAGATGCTGTGGAAGTGCAAAAGTAATACTTTTGGCTAGAAATAGTAAAGGCAAAATATTATGTTTTTAAGTGTTGTCTTAAGAGAAGTATTATTTTATAGTACTACCCAGAGTGAAAATTAGTTTTAGAAGGCATGTAAACCGTCCCTGTTTCATAGAGCTGCTTGTGTTTTACTAGTTCAAACCAGATTCCCATTTAATCGTCTTCCATATATTTTGCAGGGAAAAGCACGGTGGTTTTGCTTTCTTGTGTATGCCGGTTCTCATTTTTAGAGGTGGTCCCAGGTGTGTTGTGACCGGGGCCTGGGATGGCAGAAGGCCGGAGGGATG